TATCTTCCTCCACCACCACCACACATCAGGTCGCTCTCGTTAATGTGGTGCTTTTTCTTTTTCTTTCCTTCAGAAAAACTGAAACTGTTGTCTCATTTTCCCGTCCCCTTATCTTAAAAGCACATTTAAAAACAAATAGACGTCTTCAATAGATTTCATTTAATGGCTTTGAAAAAAAAAAAAAAAGGATTGCATTTCCTGGGCTTATTGCACTCACGCTGGGATTTGCTATAGTTCCATAGATGGTTGCCACACTTTCAAAAAATAATCTTTTGAATAACCTTTGAAATGGTGTTCGCATCAACAGGTATAGAACTACCTACGCTGACGCCACTTGCACCTCACACTTTGTGCGTGTGTGTGGATCAGTATATGAACCAACCTCTTTACTAAAACGCTGACAACGTGAACAGAGAATATTGTCAGGATGACACAGGGTCTGTAGGATACAGTCGCAAGCGGTTTATCAAATGCATCCAAATGAGTCATACATGGGCTAGGCAAGGTCAAATAAAGGCAGACAAGCAGGCTATTATAGGAAGAGCAGAAAACAGGCAAGACTTCGCAAAAAGTGAGAGGGTATGAGAGGTGGTGTATATTGAGGGCCCCATTAGCGAGATGAGGAACAGCATATCTTGGTAATAGCTAGAATAGCTAGAAGTGAGTGGGCTAATGCCTGGTCTGGAGTGGAGCCGGATTCTCAGGTCAGTTCTGGAGCTGATGAAGATCTGGTTGTGAAATGGTAAATGGGCTGCACATGTATAGCGCTTTTATCCTTTACACTGTGTCTCATTCACCCATTCACACACACACTCACACCAATGGTAGCAGAGCTGCCATGCAAGGCGCTAACTTGCCATCAGGAGCAACTTGGGGTTCAGTGTCTTGCCCAAGGACACTTTGCTATATGGAGTCACATGGTACGGGAATCGAACCGCCAACCCTACGATTAGTGGACAACCCACTCTACCACCTGCGCCACAGCCTGAGTCAAATCTATTGCTGCTTTCAATATATTACTGTGTGTCATGTTTTGATAACCGACATACTTTACACCAGCTAAAATCTGTCCAGTTATATAAAATTCCTTGCTTACAAAGGTCAACAGCAGCTACCGTTTAACGCTCAACCATTAATGATTAACCTGTGGCTATAAATATGACAAGGTGAAATGGTTGTATTTTGTTTCATAGTGGTGCTTCATGATACCACACTCAACTAGAGCCACTGACTCTGAACAGATGAGACCCCTGTTTTGAATTTGACATGAAGACCATACACTTATGAATACGTCTTTATCCATTCATCTTTCAATGTTTTTTTTTATTTATCATCCTCCACTTGTTTTTGAACAAGCCATGCCATCATGTTGTTACTAAGACCACAGAGGGCAGCGGAAGCACAGTGACGGCTCAGTGGTAAAGGTATTGCGCTACTGGACTACTTATTAGAAGGTCGTGAGGTCAGATCCCTGCACCGTTGGGCTGTTGAGAAAGGTGCATCAGCGTCCGAATCATTTTCACTGGTCAAATATTAAGTATTAGGAATATTTGTTGGATTACGTAGACACAGAATTCTGCAACCAACAAGAATAAGAAAGAGAACATCATGTAAGCATTAACGATGAATTCAAATATCAGCTAGACTGCGGTGTACAAAATAAAACAAGCACGTTATGTACAGATTAGACCGTATTATAATTACAACCTGCGCAGATTTCACAATATGTACCGAAATAAGCAAGCTTGGAGTGTTGAAAGTAATTGCACTTGATTGTATATAATAATACGTGCTACGTGCACGTAGTGCTGTAATTCCAGCAGCTGTAGTATAATGATAGAGCTGAAAGGATTTATGTAGTCCATTATTTAGAGGTATTACAGCTCAGGAGAAATGTACCTGTGGGATTTTTTTTGTCTGGGTATCTGGACAGCACTCAATTTGAGACCCCCCCATTTATATATATCTGGCAAAAGCTTTCATCCAAAACGCAACCCAGTCCAATTATATAGCTGAGCAGTTGAGGGTTAATGGACTAATGCTCAGGGGTTTAACGCTCTGACAGTCCTAGTATTTGAACTCACAACCTTCTGGTAGCTAGCTCCCACATTCTGTGTAACGACAATGACCATGATTCTTGTAGGCGGACATATATTTTGTCTGGTATTCTGTGTATACTATACTGTATATAGACTTACAGGTAAATGGACTATAAAAATGGATACCATTAGACACTGGGCGGCTGTGGCTCAGGTGGTAGAGCCGATTGTCCACTAATCATAGGGTCGGCGGTTCGATTCTCGACCCACGTGACTCCACATGCCGAAGCGTCCTTGGGCGAGACGCTGAACCCCAAGTTGCTCACGATGGCAAGTTGGCACCTTGCATGGCAGCTCTGCTACCGTTGGTGTGTGAATGGGTGAATGAGACACAGTGTAAAGCGCTATATAAGTGCAGACCATTTATATTGCTTTTGAATTAGTGCACCTCGCACATATGTACACATAACCTGAGCTCATAAAAATGAATGTCTTAAAAGCTCTTTTATGTGGGGGGAGGGGGAAGCCTGCAGTAAATATGAGGAGTACATATCCTTGGCTCTGGAAAAGTGGGGAGAAAAAAGATGCATGGTAATATTCCCTTGTATTACGAGTCTCTGCATTGAATACAGCCTCTTGGGTGATGAATCTTTTGCTCAGGGGAAGATTAACTGCAAGGAAGAAAAGTAACAGCCTGCGTAAGAGCTTCACACGGTTGCCAGGACACTGCCACCACCTCAGTCTCTCTCTCTCTCTCTCTCTCTCTCTCTCTCTCTCTCTCTCTCTTCCTGTGCCAGATAACCTGTTCAATTGTTTATTATTCTCCCTCACTCTCACAGGCAAGGGTTATTTTTCTGTCTTGTCATCCTTCCTTGTTCTACATCATCACTTCATTCTCTGTCAATATGTTTTGCCACCTCAAATTTCAAACAGGTCACCCCATGGGCTTCATCACACGTGCACACACACTCCATTAAAACCCTGTTGTGACTCCGCACACACACACACACACACACACACACTCCTTCAGTGGAATTTATAAGCAACGCAGATCATATCTGATCTTATATCCTAGACTCCATGACTTATGAAGTGTTTATAGTGAGGTGGCGCCTGGGTTAAAAATTGTATCTGGCCAACTACAGAACCAGTATCTGAAAAACAATCTGGTTTGTGTGACACTCTCTCATCAGTTACACAACCAGGACACTGCTCAAGTTCTCACCGTTATGAATCACACAGCAGGACTGAACCTCCCAAGGGCTTTGGAGAATGGCCTAATAGATCCAGACATAGTGTTGGTGTTCCTTGCAAATGGTGTTAGAGGAGTTATCTGAATTTCATTGGCCTTAGACGGTACATACATCTTGAAATTGCCAATAATGCTATGATTTGATATAAAGTATAAAAAGTCTGTTGCTTTTTAAATGATATCAGACTATACTAGCTGTAATAAGAAATATTAAAGGCCTTCTGCGTATGCAGTATTAGCTCCATTGAACGTATATCTCCATTTTTGCAGTTACACCAACCATATGCACATTGGTTACTGAACTGTAGACATACACTTGTAGTTCAAGTGCTAATATGGACAATTTGTCAGGCCACCCCACCCTGTACATTAGCGGAAAGAAAACACCATGGGGCCACCACTGACCAGATATTATTGGCCATGACTCTGACATAGTAGTGGGTTTGGCTTTGGGTAATGATTTTTATTATTATTTTTTAAAATAATTTTGAATGTTAACCTTTCTCTCCCTCCATTAGTGCGAAATGCAACAGTATAGTTTCTCTGTATTTTGCTTGAAATGGGCTGACGAGCATGGTCTCATGATAGCCGATTTTAAGAAATTATATGAGCCAACTCATCTGAGCAGTCACATATAAGATCATTTTCTGAACCAAGTATGGTTTAGTTTAAGCGGTTGGTTTTAGCTATATATTTCTGTGAGCATCCATATTTAATGGTTTCAGGGTATTTGGAATCTGAACCAAAAACTACCTAAATTGAATCAAACATGTCAAATGCCTGTGTCGCAATTCGGTTCTCTCTGAAAGTGGCCCAGCTGGTCCACATTTTACCTGAGATTTAGTCTCATTAATTTTAAGTTGATCTTCTGGCACCAAGTTTCTGATTATTTCAACCCCTGATTCCATGGTGGCATGTCCCAGATAGCAGATGAGCGATAGCCGAGTGTTGGCCCACACTTACACATTCATCTGACCTATATATGACAGTGGAATAACAATAACAAACCCTAACAAATTTGGGTGCCAGGACGCTGTATGATTACAGTCACATGTGTTAATCATCCATCCATCCATCCATCCATCCATCTTCAACCGCTTATTCCTTCTTCAGGGTCGCGGGGAACCTAGAGCCTATCCCAGGAAGCATCGGGCACAAGGCAGGGTACACCCTGGACAGGGTGCCAGTATGTGTTAATCATGTCAGATTATATGATGAAGATTCTCTGACGATAGACCCGTGATTTAAAAAAAATCAGCTTGGCGTAAATACATTCTTTAAAATGAGGTTGAGGTAATTTGCTGTCCTGAAAAAAAACAAAACATTCTGACAGGGTCAAAACTTTGTCACTGGCTGCCTAGGTCAGAATGACACTAAATCAGCCACCTGTGAGCACATCACATTCAATTTTGTAAGACCACCGATCTCAACTTCATCCATCCACACATCCATCTTCCATACTGCTTATCCTACACAGGGTTGCTGGGAAGCTTGGAGCCTATGCCAGGGAACTCGGGGCACAAGGCGAAGGACACCCTGGACGGGGTACCAACCCATCGCAGTCCACAATCGCACACATACTCATGCACTACGGACAATTTGGAAATGCCAATCATCCTACAACGCATGTCTTTGGACTGGAAAGGAAACCAAAGTACCTGGAGGAAACCAGGGAAGCACAGGGAGAACATGCAAACTCTGCTCACACAGGGCAGAGGTGAAATTCGAACCCCCAACCCTGGAGGTGCTAAGGCAAACGTGTTAACCACTAAGCCACCCTGCCCTGATCTCAACTCATGTCTTAGTTTTAATGAAGGGAAATTGTAATGCTACAGTGTACACTACCAAGACATTCTATACAATTTTGTGGCAACTGTTTGGGGAAGAACCAAATATGGGTGTGATGGTCAGGTGTGCACATACCTTTGGTCATACGGTGTACATCTGTGGTCAATCAGTATACAATCCAATAAGCATACAAAAAATGTCCCTGCTAAAACAACAACAACAACAACAACAAAACCCAATAGAAACCATCAGAGAAATTGTAATGGTTTCCACTACAAACCATCAACTCTTAACTATTAAAACCATTACCAAATGGTTTCCATTACGTAGTAGGACATATTACAGGCACATGTCCTTAATGGTATCCACTAAACATAGCATGACACCAATAGGCAGCAACAAATTACCAGTAGAAACCCACACTGAACATTAGCCTACAGTTTCCATTACAACCAATACAATTCCCATTATAACCAGTAAAACCAGTGAAACCATTCTATGAGTGTTTTAATGTTTGTTTGTTTTTTTTTGTCTGTATCATCTCAGTGACAGGGAAAAGTACCTTATATCTGATAGTGTAGACGCATGTCCCCTCAGCAACTAATTTGTGAGGTAAACGTGTCACTCTGAGCTGAAATGACATTGATAACAGACCTAAAGAATGAATTAGGGAGAGCATGTGATTGATATCTCAGCAACGCCTATCACACAGGAGATGCGCTCGCGCGCGCTCTCTCTCTCTCTCTCTCTCTCTGCACAAGCTCTCGCTTTGCGCGCCAAAATCCAGTCAGTGTCAAGACTGCGCGCTCACGGAATGCTCACATCTCACGCGCTCATATTGGAGACGCCATTCTCTCTCTCTCTCTGTCTCTCTCTCTCTGACAGAACCGAGTGAGCTGCTGAGAGGAATTCCTCTGACAGACTGAAATCACGTAAGTCTTTTCCTCAAAACGAGACCGTGAGAGAATGTTGTTTTTTATTTCCAACAGTTGTAGTTATGGAAATGATTAACATTGTATATAAAACCGTGCCTGTAGAAATGTTTTATATAGAAATATTCATGTGAGTATTTTGAGGTTTATGCATTTTAAATATACAGCTTACTTCCCATGCAGAAATCTGATTTATGTTATATACAAATCCATACAGGACCATAGATGGAGCCTACTGAAAGAAATCATAGCTTAAATATGAGCAGGTTTATCTGAAATATGGCTATATTTCGGACAGAATTATTTCTCCTGGTTTTACATTCCAAGCTTTTACAACCTTTTTTTCTCATTCTGTCCAGATAACTTAGACTTCTTTCTAGAAACAAACGATCGTTTCAAGCCGGAAAAGGAGTAAAAAATGTCGAGAAATGGGTTTAATAATTGAATATTTGGTTTAATATCAAGCAAATACTAGACATGTTTGACTATTTTGAAGGTAATTCAACTTGCTAATCTCCACTGGTCATTTGTGCGGCGTATATGACACATCGGATAGTTTATATGATGGTTGAGGGATTGGATATTGGATTGGACATTTGCATATCCTATATGTTGTAAAGTTCCTGTATATCGACGCATATATAAAAACTGGACGATTTGATTTAAACATCTTGAGAAACAGGATTATAAGGTACAATAAAAACGGTTCCTCGAGGATCCTTTGGATACTTTAACAAGGGTTCTGCTTGAACATAGATTTCTAATAGATTGTAGGATTGATTGTTGTATATTTAACAAATATTTTTTTCAAAGATCGTACGTTACTTTAGATTTTTTATTCAGCTGATGAGTCGATGTTCAAGATGGGCTAATCTTCCTTTCTTTTGATTTTAAATTGAAACTGATATGTTAGCACGTTCGCCTCACGCCTCCAGGGTCCAGGGTTCGATTCCCACCATGGCCCTGTGTGTGCGGAGTTTGCATGTTCTCCCCGTGCTGTGGGGGTTTCCTCCGGGTACTCCGGTTTCCTCCCCCAGTCCAAAGACATGCATGGTAGGCTGATTGGCGTGTCTAAAGTGTCTGTAGTGTATGAATGGGTGTGTGTGTGTGATTGTGTGCCCTGTGATGGACTGGCACCCTGTCCAGGGTGTACCCCGCCTTGTGCCCCATGCTCCCTGGGATAGGCTCCAGGTTCCCTGTGACCCTGAAAAGGATAAGCGGTAGTAGATGGATGGATGGATGGATGGATGGATGCATGTAACTGATATAAACTGTATGACTTCATTTAATTTATTGATATACAGTGTAGTGTATAAATAAGTTGTCATATATGTACCATGTCCATATGGAGTATAAGTGAAATCCACTACGCTAACATTCAAACAGGTGACAAATTAAACTGGTCTCTCAGGATGACTCCGCCCCCATTCACAGGACACGAAGGCTCAACGTATGGCTCGATGAGGATGAAAATCATACGCTGTGTCCATATGTTCTCTACCAGATCTCAACCCCATATATGTGAAAATTTTGAGCGATGCTTTAGACCGCGCTCGAGATCCGACCGACATGAAAACACTAATGAAGGGAATATGTTTTGGAAGGTCGGTGTTCAAGCTCCAGGACAGGTCCAGACATGTGCAGAATCGATGCTGAAGGCAAGGCACACTGAAGGTGTTCTCAAGGCTTGTAGTGTTGCGACAGCTTACTAAGACATTGTATATTGGATTTTCCCTTTAATTTGTCACCTTTCTGTGTGTAACACAGTGAATGTGTGTATATATATATATATATATATATATATATATATATATAATATATGTTTATCATATCTGTGTATATGTGTATATTAAAAATAAAGGTTACAATTAGAACCAAAAAGGGTTCACTTGAAGAACCAGTACACTGCTCTATGATGAAACATAACAAACGTCTTTAATAACCAAAGAGCTCAAGGGTTCTTGACAAGAAGAAGGTTCTTTACAGAAGCCATGGTGCTGTATATAGAACCATTGAAGAACCTTTATTTTTAAGAGTGTATATGTGTGTGTGTTGGTGTGTGTATAAAATATGTCATTTGAATGTATACTGTGAATGTGTTGTACATGTAAAGCATTCACTGTATGCTATGTAATTCCAAAATAATTCTTCACACTTCAGTGGAAACCGTTGCAAACTATCACAATTCGTACTGTTTCCATCTTTTTGGTGAATTTTTTTATACACTCTCCTCCTTTGATGTGTTCCTCTGGGGAAACCCTTCGATGTTTTATGTAGAACCCCAGAAAAGAAGGTTTTCCATTCCTGTACAGAGCTGCAACCGCTATCCATCTAATGAAGCCCTGAAGAACCCTCGGAGTAGAATAATCTGCTGTACAACGTTGGCCGGGATGTAGCTCACTCTAGTTCTTGTGATTTTACTGTTCCCATTAATAACCGGTACAATGTGCATAGACGTTGTCCCTTTTAAGCTGTTGAAATGTTAACAGTTACGTCTACCTAACTGCTCTACGAGCTCGCCGTCTCGGACCACGCAGTCATTTCAAAGCCCGCAAAAAGACATCAGCTGAGTCATGCGAATGGAGAATTGCCTGAAGTGAGCATCCATGAATTTCAATCATGGCTGATAATATACTGTAGAATTAGTTCACTACTGGCTCACAGCGACACATAATTGAAAATTAATAAGCTGAAATGTAGGGTTTCCCGCTGACTCCACAGACTCACTCATAGCCTCTGTACTTATTAGCCTGCAAAGCTTTATGAAGATGAAAGAAACAAACCAGATTTATTTAGCCCCCCCACCCCTTCCTTATATGGACCTTGTAATAGCCTCGCGATTTTACTTTTGTCCCAACGGGAGAGATTAGCCCCAGGCATTTCATGCGAACACAGATGAAAAAATGTCTCCATTAAAACCAATGCAAATAAAACCATTAGCAGTGTGCTAATGTAGCTTTATCTTGGCAATGTATCTCACATTGCATTGCAAAATAAACCATCGACAAACAGTAATTTCATATGGTGCTTTAATTATAGCTAATGACGGTAGCTGTGTAAGATGTGAGTTATTGTAGCCTATTGTGTGAGGAATGAAACACGACGGGGTGTGCCGTTATGGGAAAATAATTAACGGCGGGGTGGTGTGATGCAGCTCTGATGTTGATTAATAACAGCACGCCATGAAGACTTATATTCCTTTCTTGATACAGCACTTTGCCCCTGCTAAGGATTACTTATATAACAACACGGTATACTTTTTATCCATTTATAGTTATGTTAACGTTCCGTTCATACGGGATATTGCGGACGACAACGCTTGATTTTGCTGCATCTTTTTTTCTCATAATTCGCAAGTTTTTTGTGCTTTTTTTTGCGGAATCGGCGAAATACAACGGCATGAAATTGTTCTGTACGGTCTTTCACAGGGATGTTTGTTTGTTTGTTGGTAAGTAGCTGCGACCTTTTAGCCCTACTCATGTTCGTCGCACGTAAGGACTCTGGTTGAATGCGTGTCGTGATGATGTCACATGACGCGTCTTGGCCCAAATCTGCAGAAAATCTGCGGTAACTTTGAAAAAAAAAATGCCAAGCTTTGAGTTTGCTTGATCGCAAAATCGCTCAATCCTGGTTGGACTGAATGTTTGTTACAAACATCGACACTGGAGACTCCTTCCCAAAATTGCTGTAGAAAACTTCACCATATCAACACATGCGTGTTTATGTGGCGCGTCCACTGCACGAGTCCCTTACAAGTGCAAGTTGTTACTATAGAAACGATAACGTATTAGAACAAGCGCATGAATATAAACCTGGGATTCGACGCACAACCCGGACTAGTTTCAGAACTGCGGTTATAAACGAATCCCTTCTGACCAATCAGATCTGAGAATTCGACAGTGCTGCTTTTCATCAACGTATTATGCAGAAGCGTCCATGAATTTTTCATTACCTACGCTGAAAGGATTCGAAAAGGAACGTAGTCACGAGGGTGAAGAATGTCATTTCGGACCCGTTGATGGAGTCTAGTCTTTATTTTGTGTTATGAAAATGCATTTGGCAT